AATTTTGTTATTTCCTTTGTATTATACGGTAATATCCAAGTTTCAGTAAAAGTAGCAGGTTATAGATGTCAGGAAATCCAAATTTAAGCATTTTGAAATAATTTATTAACAGTAATTCCATTCAAATAAAAACTATCGATTTTATTTATTTATTAATTACTTTTCTGTTGTTCAGTTATTCTCATTTTATTTATTATTTTATTTTTAATTTTGTATATAAATTATTTTAAAACTGTTAATAAATGTATTCTAAATTTATTAGAAATAATATAGTGAAATTAGTAAATTTGACAACGTTGCATTCAATTTCATATGCAATCGTATATAATAACAAATATTATTTGTAAGTCAGCTTATCTCCTGAACCTCTCCAAAATTCGCTCCTGGGCTCAAAGTAACCACGCTAACATGAAAAATCATAGTAGTTATTTTTCTGAATTAAATTTAAATTATGTAATTCTTATCTTAATCTTGAAAGATTGTGGATGTGATTTAAAAGAACTAGGTATAACCGCTATAGTTTATACATTTTTGTTCTCCTGATCAAAATCTAACAAATAAATATTATTAAATAATTTGAAAAATTGAGATAAGTGTTGTTAACGGTCACATATACGAACAACAATGATATTTCGATGATATTGGTTTTGGAAAAATATAAAAACAAAAATAAATTAAAATGTGAGCTCGAGCGTATCGTAACATTGTTAGTGGGTTTTTATTGAATCTCTCTCCAATATTATGTTGTTTAGGAGCCCTTTGTAATTAATTTGTCCGAAGTCTTATCATGAGCCAGACCGACACTGCTAATAGGTTAAACAAACCTTGCAAATTTTAAGCAAACTATCTTCAAATATTCTTAGCATGTAAGTTTCCCATTAATATATTCAGTAATACAGCTTTCCAAGTATTAGTTATTTGTTTCTTATTTTCTGGTAAATTTCCTTGTATTACAACTACAAAATTTAATATAATTTAATGTTCGAATACTATTTAATGTCACCATATGATAAAATATATTAGGATAGGCGCTGGTTAATTCTCTATTTATCTTTAAATGAAACGATTCGCAACAATTTATAGTCAGAGGTGCTTATACAAGGTAGAGGGGTTAGGGGTTCAACCTCATTTGCCAAAATTTAAGAATAAAAACAAATACATTTTTATACAGTAAAAGTGGCTTATAGATTATATAAGTATGAAAATATAGAACTTAAACCCTATCCCACAATTTGTTTTTGTGTACGAGCCTGTGTAGTCGTACATATGGTACATGCATATAAAGAGTGTTCCTGAAATTGTTGAGGAAACTAGTATACGCATACTCTCTGGAGTAATTAAATCAAAATTTGTTTGACATTTTTTTTTCAAAACCTGGGTTTTATCTAATTATCTTTAGAATATTATTTAAAATCTAAAAATAAATAGGTACTTGTAAGATAAGTATCTTTGCAACTTTCTCACGTGAATCAATATGTAATATTTTGGGCTTGTCGTGTGTTTTTCACGTTCAAGTCACCAGGATCAAAAAATCTGTTGAGACATATCAATTTGTATGAGAATTAAAAAGATACTTCAATCTTTTTATGGTGGGGGGGGTGTTATATATCCCTGAAACTCTCTCTGCTTAAGCCATGTGCGTGAAGTTGCCCCTCCCCCCTAAATCAAGATAGCGACTTCAAACCTTCATAGATATTTTGCAATTAATTTGCTATAATTTGCTATGTAGTTTTCAGAATTTGCATACCCATAGTTTTTCCGGAAATTCATATTTTCCATTTAGGGGGCCAACTTTACCACAGCCCCTCAATTTTAAGCTAGTTACTCCAAACCTTCACAGAAATTTTGCATTTGATTTGCTATAATTTGCTATGTAAATTTCAGAATTTGCATACCCGTGGTTTTTTCGGAAATTCATATTTTCTGTTCGGGGGCCAACATCACCACAGCCTTCCCAATTTTAAGCTAGCGACTCCAAAGTTTCACAGACATTTTTCAATTAATTTGCTATAATTTGCTATGTAGTTTTCAGAATTTGTATAATTATGATTTTTCTGGAATTTAAGATAATCATTTAAATACGAGAGTTTTACTACTTCAACAAATTTTTCATCAAGAACAAAGTGTTACAAATGTAAAATTAATTGATTCAAAGTGCATTGTTTCATTTATTCAGAATGCAAGAATTATAGAAGGAAAATTTGCAGTCCAACAATTATATTGAAAATGAAGCATTATTTTCCAATTTTCAAAATGCTCTGAATCAATAATTATCAGAATCACACTATACACGCATTGAAGAAAACTGCGATGAAATAATATAATCTACATGAGTAATTTAAAATCATTTATTTATTGAAACTGATATGGTAGCTGATGGACATCAATTTTCATTAAATTATTTTATGTGATCGTTCTGATAAGTAAGTTTAATATTGAATCTTAATTCTTATAATATTTATAAATATATTATTGTTTTATAAATTGCAGCTACCTATTAAGAACTTATAAAATAAATTAAATTATTAAAACATTAATGTTCAGCATATTCACATATAATTAATTAATATAATATAATTAATTATATAATTAATATAATTAATTACATTAAATGTTTAATTTGTTCATTGTAGGTATATTCTCTGAGGAATAGTTGGATATGAGTCCATTATATTGCGTATGTAAGACGATCAGATAGATGTTGGGAAATACATTATGATTTAATTCAAAAAATTCAAAAAATTTTAAATCCTTAAAGAATTCATATAAATCCACATTTAATTATATATGTAAAAATCTAAAATTGTTTTTTTTAATAATTATTTTAAGTTAATTTTAAATAAATATAAGAAATATTTAAAAAACTAAATTGTTTGAGATATGTTTGTTAATGATTTATGATTAAAAAAAAAAAAAAAAATTGTAATAAGAAAAACAGTAATAAACAATCTATAATTAAATTTATTCTTGAATGTAGGATAATTTTTAAAGATTTTGTATGATGCAATTCTAAAACGAAGTTAAAAAATAACTAGGAATTCTATTATAAAGTATTATTATAGTTGAAAAGTAATATTGGTTTTTTTTGACAAAACTAAGTTTACTTCAGATTTAATGGAAAAAATATAGAAACAAGATATTAAAAATGATACCTACTTAAATTAATTTTAATATTAAAACTTTTTGAAAATGGGGGGGGGCATAATAGGAATTATTTTAAAATTATGTTTGTTTTCTTCAAAACGTTTTACATTAAATCTAAATAAAAACATTATTTAGTCTTTCAGAATGAATTTAAAATTAATATATTATATACACAGTATGTTATAAAATTATTGAGTACGTTCAATCACTTTTCAATTTAACATTTTCAAATTCTGAGTAAAAGTGGATTGTATTTGAAATGCAAAAGGATTGATTTAATTTGTGTATACAATTTTGACTAGAAAGAGTGCTCCGAGACTTAAAAACCTAGTACTCTCCAATTTTTAAAATTGTAATCGTACATGTATTTTTACTTGATAACTAAGAAATATAATAATATTTAAATTTAATTAATTTAGATATGCTCCTAAACTTCTTTTGTGGAGCACAATTTGAGAACCACTGATTTAATCAATTATAACCAAATTATTTTGAATTTTGATTATACAGACCGTCAAAGAAACGTTGATGTACGATAATGTGAAAAAACAAAATCAATTAATTATTGTTTAATCTCCATGAATAATTATTATTACTAAATGGTTTTATTTTCTTGCTTTTTACATATTTTTCAAATATTATCATTGTTTCCTACTATAGGCTGGAGCTATGAGCCCATGTATTTGATACACACAATGTACACGGATATTGCAGCATTGATTCTCATATGTTATGAATATAGATATAAATAAAATTTATTGTAATAAATTAATTATTGTTATATTGAACATCCAAATATTTTCAGCATTTTACAACGGGAAATATTCTATGAATCTAAAATATATATTTTTGTAAATATTAACACTCATATTTAAATATTACATTTTCTTCATATCTCTAAATTTAACTAAACCACTAAGGCTTTTTTAAAATTCTCAACATCTGTTGATGTTATACAGGCGTGATTTAAGTATACCAAGTCAAAAAAGTTTTCTTGGAAAAATCACGGGTATGCAAATTCTGAAATTTACATAGCAAATTATAGCAAATTAAATGCGAAATTCCTGTAAAGGTTTGAAGTCACTAGTTTAAAATTGGCGGACTGTGATGAAGTTGGCCCCCCGAACAGAAAATATGAATTTCCGAAAAATCGAGGGTATGCAAATTCTGAAAACTATATAGCAAATTATAGCAAATTAATTGTAAAATGTCTGTGAAGGTTTGGAGTCGCTAGCTTGATTTAGGAGGGCCAACTTCACGCATATGCTTAAGCCACTGATGGAATTTATATAAAGAAAATAAATAAGTTAACTCATCAAGTAGGAAGTTACTTAAGAAAAAAGTTAGTAGTTATTTAAAAAATTTAACCTGTTATGTAAATAATTTAAAAGTAACTTAACTTTTAAGTCGACTTTAACTTCTTAACTTATATATACCCATCCTATTTGGTTAGTGATGAGATTAGTAATCGGTAGAATTATCGGTAGAATCAACCGTTAACAATTTGTGTATGAGTTTTAATAAAATAAAGTATGGAAATTAGCGAGAAAACTGGAATATTCAATTATTGCCATTTTATTATGTTCAATAAACAACGGAGGAATAAGTTCCAAATTTGTGTAGGTAGTTTATATAAAACAATTACTATATTTTATATTTATGAGCATTTTTACTTGTGAACCTATTTTAATACACCCCGAGGAAATAATATAAAACATATAAATAAAAAAAAGGTTGAAAACATCAGTCTGAATTCATAATGTGTCACTTAATGTGTCACTTTGACTAGACTCCGATAGAGACAATGATACAAATTTTATTATTATTCTTATTATTGTATTTTTTTTTTCATGCAGAATATCTTACACAGATGGACGTCAACGTTTGGATGCTTGACTACAGTGGCGTTTCGGCTGGACCCGTTAAGTGTTATTTAGCCGCAGTGTTCAATTTGCCGTCTGTGGGTAAGTGTACTGCACTGTTCGTGCGAAAAATCATGGAGCTATCCGAAGTTAAGGAGCACAAGGATATAATGCACGTGATCGGGTTCAGTCTTGGTGGGCAACTGGCCGGTCATGTGGCCGAACATTTAAAGCCCGTCAAGTTGCCAAGGATTACAGGTTTGCTAGCTGTGTTTACACTTCGTATGTTGATCGTGAAATCGACCGTGATCGGGAACGTTTCAAAATTAGGTTTCTGATCGGTCGGGACTCATAGGAAAGTTGCTCTGTGCTAAAACAACGTGCTGTTCCGGGCGAGCTTTTTCGCAACGACTTTACGAACCCTGAGCCATCCATGATAACATATCTGTGTCCGTATAGTCCACGATATTCGTCCCCTGCGATTATGGGTTTAGTGAAAGATGTTCGTTCCGATGATGGGTGCTACGACTTCACGGATCACATCGTTCAATAAATGTATAAAAGACTAATCGTCAATTTTCAATGTATCGTAATTTACTGTAATTTTCAAATACTTTATGCACAGCAAGACGATGAACATTTCAGGTGATAATTCCGTCGACCCCGGTTCGAAATTCGTGAAATAACCACGAGCGTGTAGTGGCACTTGAGTGAAATGAATTGTGATGCATCTTATACAATAACAAGAAAATATATTTTTTAATTTATCAAATAACATTTATTATCATATTTAGTAGAAGTAACAATAAATTACTTATTTAATATTCAATTATCATAAAAAACAATCAAATCGAGTACAAGTAAAATTGTTATAATATATTTTTTTTAAAAAAAAACTAATCACTTGAACTGTGTAAGTGCAATTAAATAAACAATTAATATTAAAGTTAATAATATCAAGTAATTAAAATTGTATGCTTAGAACTTTTGTACATATTATAAAACATCGTTAATTTCAAATACGTTTATTAATAGTTAAATAAAATTACATTTTAAACGTTCGAATAAAGTTCCATATTATTTAATTAAATAAGGGCAAACATAAATAAAATATATTTTCTGTATCTTAATTCAAATATCATAAAGTTATTGGAGCCCCTAGGCTAGCTTACTCAGCCCTCCTCTAAATCCGGCCCTGAAAGTAATTGAAAGTAATTAACTTGCGGGTTGACTCTTCCATGCAATTGTAATTTACTCAATATCGGTACAGGTACTAGATAATTCACTAGGCTTGAAGAACGATGTAAGTGAAACATACGTATTTGTACGGTACACCTCAGTGTTTCTCATTCCGGTGTATATATAATAGTACAAAATGTTTTTAAGATTGTCACCATTCATCATCGGGGGTGATAATGTTTATAGTACCCTATTATACATGCCTACGCGGAAATTCGATTTTTTATTTTAAATATCGAAATTAAGAGTTCTGAGGGTTCGATCGACCTACGTTATTACCTTTTATCAGATATATATATATATATATAATAGGGTTCCACAAATTATAATTCGCTCTCCTTTGCAGGACTGGACCCGGCTCTGCCATTGTTCTACAGCACGCATCTGAACCGAAGACTGAGTCGGAACGACGCCGAGTTTGTGGACGTAATACACACGAATGTGTTGGTGCAAGGGCAGCTTTCGCCTTGTGGCGACGTCGACTTCTATGTGAACGGCGGACTTTCGCAACCGGGCTGCAACCACAGTACAGGTATGTGTTCAATTAAGGTGATCTATAATACTATATTATTTTGCTGATTGTTAATTGCGATATTATCTCGTATCTTGTCGTGATGACTCCGATATGATTGACACTGAAACTGCATTCATAAAAATATTGATACACTATGTTACGACTGTTCTGTAATACGTGCAGAACCATTCGTATGTGATCATCACATGGCTCCGGCGTACTTTGCTGAGAGTATTAATTCGATAACGGGTTTCTGGTCCTGGCCGTGTCCGAGCGTGTTCAATTACCTCTCCGGACAATGTCCTCCTCAGGGCGATCACGAGCTGATGGGGGAGAACGTGAACGAGAGGTGAGTCATCTTTATACATTCGCGTGGGTTTGCTATACAATATGACGTGCGAAAGGTAACATGTCTTGATAATAGTATGTAACTATATCGGTTTTTTTTTACGTCCATTACCCTGGCCCCCCAATCCAGAAATGTGTGATTTTTTTCATGCTTATAATAAGTACGTAATTTGTATGAATTTATTCGACCATTTTCAGAATTTGTACGTATGGAGTTCGTTCACCGAAAAAAATTCATTTTTCACGGGAGGAGCTGGAATAACGTTATTTTTTAGCTATATATCAATACTTTGTTTTCTTTGATGTATTAGAAATTGTTGTTGCGTCAAATGTTTGGAATGATATTAGTATATATCTGAATGGCCATGTTTACAAATATGCAATACATTTGTTCGTGCATAGTGATCGTCATAATGTGAAAAAAGCTTTAGGATTACAAGAGTATATACAAGACATTTGTCAAATTTCTTCAAATAATACTCAGGCGAATATTGCTAACGAACAGAGTTTATATAATATAATTAGTAATATACAAATATATTATAAATACGAGTAAAATACATACTATCGGATATTTCTTAAGAAAATGAAAATAATTACTATTTTTATCCCACGCCATTCTTATCTAACAAATATATGTTTAAAATAGAAATAGTGTGTTTGCAATATGCCTTTGTATAAATAATAATAATAAAATTATGAATATAATGATGTAAGAGATTTTAAGTATACAGAATTCTTCTGAAAATATTTTTTATTTTGTTAATATAACACTGTGCTAATTAATAAAAGTGGTAAAATGGTTGTACAAATTCATACAAATTACGTACTAATTATTCACAAAATAAATTTTTTGTAAAATGTGTATTTTTACTGATGATTGGGGCTGGAATAATGTTATTCCAGCCCCTCCCACGAAAAACGAATTTTCTCGGTGAACGAATTCCGTACAAATCCTGAAAATGGTCGTACAAATTCATACAAATTACGTACTAATTATTCGCAAAATACATTTTTGTAAAACGTGTATTTAACTGGTGGAAGAGGCTGGAATAAAGTTATTCCAGCCCCTCCCGCAAAAAAACGAATTTTTATCGGTGAACGAGTTCCGTACAAATTCTGAAAATGGTCATACCAATTCATACAAATTACCTACTAATTATAAGCATGAAAAAAAATCACACATTTCTGGATGGGAGGCCAGGGTAATGGACGTGTTTTTTTTTTACCACGTTAACAGTAATAAAAAGATAAATTGCTTAAAATAATATGTCTATAAAAACTGTAGGATCTTATACACAATATAATGTAGTCGACGAGTCAATATATTTCAATATTGTATGACGTTTACTAAGATTCAAAAAAAATATTAAAAAAAAAAAATATGCTAAAAATAACAAGCGATAGTCAAAGAACAATTATTTAACCATTCGCAGATTCAGTGGGGAGGTGGTAGAGGTGACCCTCCTCCATTAAACATATTTTCCAAATTCGACATTTGAAATATATTATCTATATTAATTAATGGTTATCTGTTCATTGCTACCCGCATAATAGCAAAATTTTTATGGTGACTGATTACTCAACAATTGAAAGAATAAAAATAAAAGATAATTCTGTCAACAGCTCGACACTCGATAACTGTTGATACACACGTATTACGCGTATATCATTCGTAATACCATTTTTATTGTGCATACATATAATGCCGAAGAGAAAAAATGTCGATAATACAATTTTTTTAAAAAGAAACGTACAAATACTGTGGAAAATAATGATCGAATAACAATTAAGGAAAACTTAGTTATCTTTACCAATTATGAAAAAAAATGAATTAAATATTTTAATTATTAAATTAAAAATCCATTTTTGATGACAAATGTAAATTAAAAAATAAAATAAAAAACTTAATTAATCAATTTGGTGACTTAGAAGCTTGTAAAATAAATATACCTAGAGATATTTTAGAATCTACTTTTATGGGTGAATTTGAAGTTGGCATAATAATTGGTCGCAAGACGAACAATTACCACCATTGCCTTTAGAAGCTCTGAAAAGGTTGTGATCCGGATTGTTTTTTCTGGAATTTATATATTGATAAAAATAATTATCACGTAGCTACACCCAGTTACAGGTGTAACAGCTGAACGGAATTTTCATCAATACGGTGAATCAAATCATAAATGAGGTTGAGAATATCGGAGAAACGACTAAATGGACTGGCATTATTATACGCTCATCAAAATGTCGAGATAAACCACGATGAAGTCATTGACATATTTACTCAATCAGCAAACAGAAGATTAGATTTTGTTATATGATTTACAACAACTACATGCTTTGGCATTTAAATTTGTATATAATATTTTAATAAGGTATTTGATAATAGAAGGGTAATTTTAAATTGTAAATAATTCAATAATTCAGTTTAAGAAAAAAAAGTATTCATTATAATTAATAAGTAATTATTGCATATTTATAATATATATACATATATACTCATATTTACCAGTAGGTAAATATGAGTAGTAAATATATTTTGATATTTATAATCCGCCCCTTCCGTCAATGAAGGCTGGTTCCACGCCTGTAAGTTACATTCTATGTAATCGTATGTAGAGTGAACAACGTGTAATATTGTTGTACGTATACGTATACACTGTCTTTCGGAAATTATATTTTCGATAAGAGCACAAATATATATATATATATATATATAAGAACTTTGAAAATTCTATTCCGGGTAGAACAATACTTTAATTACCAGTCGATAAGAATCACTGCGGCCGGAACTTTTCGACCCAGACCCACGCAACAACGCTATTATTGTTTTACCTATGCGGTAAAAAATGTGTTTTGTATAATTTGTCCGTTTGCAGTGCCAGAGGTCAATACGTGTTGCATACGAACAACGTGCCGCCTTACGCTCAAGGTGATTGGAAATGACATTGTAAATCCACCACCAACCGCTGTCCAACGGGAACTCGAAGTGTAAATAAATGTAATTACGTAATACAGTAAAACAATCATAATAATAGTAATAATAATAACAATATTATGATTAAATAATAATGTAATAAACCTACCTGTCAACGGGTTTTTGTTTCCTTTTACTATTGGCTTTTATTTGTCGGAAATTTCGACTGAATAAAAAATCGAGTCGTGTCCGGCTTAGGATTAAAACACGCGTAAGACCCACAATAGTGTACTCCTAGTATCTGGCAATTTCATTGCTCTTGAGCTCGATACTAATTCGACTAAAGATGATGACGGTAAAAATAATAAGAAGATTAATTATTATTGTAATTGCCCTCGGGCAACGTCGTTATTATTATTATAACGGAATACGAATCCTACGGATGACAACGGCGGCATAACGCTTGGTTTAACTACACGGCCGTGGTGGACGCACGTCATTATCAAATTCGAACTGCCACCGCAGGTTTTTTCTCGAAGACCTAATGTGGAATATAGTCAGGGCTTGACTTGACGAGAGACACAGATAGCACGATAAACGAGCTAAGTGCAACATTAAAGGAATGATAATTTTTTAATTCTTACGTCCACGACACTTTCAAAAGAAGCTTTTCGATTTTTTTTTTTTATTATTACAAAGCCAAATACGCGTGATAACCATTTTTGTATACAGTAATTTTGTGACTGATATTTTCATTTCTCTTTCTCTTTCCTTTTAGGTACTTCGTAAATATAAAAATAAATTATTACTACACGTGGCACAATAAAAAGAAAAATTTAATTTAATTTTATCTTTTTCTATATTTTAGACGTTTTCTGAAAAAAAAAAAATATATATATATATATATATATATATAAATCCATCAAGTTAATTAAAAAAAAAAAAAAAAACATTATAAAATAATATTTATATTTACTGTATCGCTATGATTGTTTACAATATATGTTATACATACGCATACGAATCTAATTACTGAAATACAACGTATTCATAAATTATTTCGCATATAGTACATGAATTATACATCGTATAAATGCTTTAGAATGAATTTTTATTAGGGAAAGAATTACTTTTTATAAGCTTTTTAAATTCATAAATTCGGTGCGTAAACTATCATATAGGGTAAAATTAAATATTATGATGTGTGTTGTGAAATGTGATGATACATATAAAAATCAATTAATAATTTATTAAAAAACAGGATAAAATATTTTTTGTTAGCAAGTGATTTAAACATTACCGATATTTTATAAGATAAGGCATATTTTAAAATCCATATTAAACAAAATCATTCAAACTGATGTAAGTGAAATAAAATAAAATAATATCTAAAATGCTGGACCATTGTTTTTGATTTTATTTTTTTCGTTATTATTTTACGACTTATTGTGCAAATTATAAGACTACAGAACATTTACAATTAATTACTTTTGACAATATTATTAAACGTAATAAATTATTCATAACTTTATGAGCAAATATAAAATGACGTGTACTCGAATATATATTGCATTATAACTCTTAATTATTATTTACGTTTCTTTTGTAATCAACTAAGAGTGTAATTGACTGTTAAACAATATTTATTATTATTTTCTATTGATATGTTACATTTATATATGTGTGATACATTTATGTATGTATAATATACTGTTTGTACATAATTTATGATAGGGTTATTTTAAACTGTTCGGCCGTATAATTTATAATTAATGTTATTATAATAAATTATTTCCCTTGTGTATCGCGTGGCGGCGGCGGCGTCAGCGTCGGCGAATATCGTTCAAAAGCGAATAAATATTTTAGTCATAGTATACTTTATATTATGTATGCGAGTTTTATTGTTTGAAAAATAATAATTCTTCTAACGAGAATATAAAAATTAAATTTTCATGCGGATTCCGTGCACTTCTTCTGCCGGTCTTGCCAAACGTATTTGTATGTATAAATATAAAATTAAAAGAACAACCATAAATTGGAAAACGATATTCGTCGAACACGATTCAGCATACGACCTTACAGTTTTAATAGGAAAAAATAATCTCAACAATTTGCGAGTTTATTACTGGGATACGTAAAACACATATTGTATAGTACTTATTCTATAATAAAGTAATCAATTCTATAATAAAGAGTTCCTCTAACAACTCGCGTGTACGTCAATAGATCGCGCAATAAGTTGTAAACAGTTTACTCACACCTCGCCATACATCCATGCTAAACGCACACACACATATACTTTTTAAGTATTTATGATTTTCGAAGTAATATTGATTGTTGGGTACAATTCGAAAATGGACGAGAATAGTCTCAACTTTTCTAGTACAATCGTGATGGACAGGTACGTATTCTTATCAGAGGTATTGTTTCGATTATTCTAGAACTGACCTACCATCCTACTGGCCTTCTAACCCAGTGACGACAGGCTGTAAGTTCACGCTATCGTGACTTGGTATACATAATTTTATTTTAGTCGGTTGATCGATTATGTTATTAGTGTCGTGTTTGGTTTTTTGTGTTTACTTTGGTTGTTGTCGCATTTTGAATATAGTTTGTAAATATTGCACATATGTAATTATGAGTTTATTAATCCTTGTTTTCTTTTATCCTTGATGTGTATCAATATATACGGTCCATATTTTTTATTAATATATTAAATTTGGCACCTGTTGACGTGTAGTCAACCCGACCAATTTTGGATTTACGACCTCGCTCAAACATTATTGATTATTATGATTAGGTGTAACAAAGATTTCAGTCAACCATAATCAATGTACCACTTAAATGTATTATAAAATTACTTAAACCAACATTAACTTATACACTACAACCATCATCACTTGAAATGTACTTTAACTGAAATAAAACATGCCAAGTTTCAATATTATATAACCTTTTACTCTCACATGTTAAATAAAGTGCCGTTTCCTCATATGGGTGTATAAAATAAAATCGAATTTGATAGAGAACTGTAAAGTGAAGCTTATCGCAGAAGATATCATATTTACGGAATTGTTCTATCACTAATGTGCGTCTGAGCGTAACTTAATAACCATAATTTCATAACATTATAGAACAAATATATACCTAAAAATATAACGCATATAATATATTACCTATAATATTTTGTCCAGAAGAACGTTTTTACTTATTTTTAATACGGTTTTCTCATGATAATAAATTATAGTGTAGCTGTACAAGATCATTACATTGATCATTATAATGTTATACAAACGTCGCTATTATGTACACTTGTGTACGGAATCACTGTCACTTGATTATTTAAATTTTATGTCGTGGAATATTCGCAGGGTGAAAATACTCGCTCTGGTGCACATTTTACCCGCGAGACAAGTATAATCTTAGAAATTGCCACTATAGGCGCCTATAGTATAAGTACATATTATATTAGTATGTAATGTTTACCATATCTTCATGTGTAAAATAATTTCTTTAACTAGAAAAGGGGGAAAAAAACAGTTTGATTTTATACTAGATTAATTGCTTAGATATTCACGTATCTCTCAAAGTAGAAGTTGCATGTAAATATGGATATCACGTCAAAAGTTTTTACTTGAGATAGTATAATATAACGCACTGTACCTACACACTATGTAATGATATAATAGTATGTGTGCAAATGCTACAGAATTGTATAGGTTTTTTTTTTTTTTTTTGATTATGAGAATTAAAGCATTGTATTTTCAATCGAAAAGAATTCAAAACCTATTTTGGAGGATAATTTGGAGTGATTACTCAAGTGCTTTGGGTACTGCGGTATTGTAATACATTTGCATCTCGGCTTTTCACGCAAGAGGAAGCGCCGCGGCGTACGGTTCTTTCTGAACACTTGCATTTATACGCTAATTTCTTATTTTTTCCTATGCAAAAACCTGAGTACGCGTCCTCGATCAAAGCCTTTGATAAACATATATACCTACGTATTATTATTATTATTTTTTTTTACATTTACGACCGTTTTCGAGTGTCAATATCAAACATCACGTTGAGGAGTAATTTTCTTTTGTCGGAACGACGTGGAGTTTTTATACCATATTATTATTTTTCTTTTCACCCCGTAATTATATTAATGTATAACAGTATAGTGTATTATTAAAGCCATTAAATATTTTACCATCCGATAAGTCGTTAATAATATTTTACGGAAATAAAGAAATTATTACAAATTTAGGGTATCGGATTCGTGGTATAAACGGTAGTCGGTTGTTCGGAAATGTATACTCATATTATATTGAATTACGGTGTTAATTTTTTTGATCGTCAATAATAGTTGACTTCGTGACCACATTTATGTGTATAACGAGTGAATAAATTACGACGTGACTCGAAAAGTACAACAATTTCACTCCCGTTTTTAAGGACATTTACGGATTTTTACATTATATACTGTTTTAATAGAACACAATAAGTAAAACGGATAACAATTTTTATATAATTACTTATAACAGAAGGACGTTATGAGAGAGGCTATCCATTTATAAATTCTTAGTTAGAACTTGAAATTTATTAATTTAATTTTAAATTTAAATTTATTAGATCATAAAATAAATGTCTTTTAAAACAACTCGGAGGTTGTCGAGAAGTATTGATAAATGAGAGATGAGAAGATTTTTACGATACTGTAATTCAGTGTGTAATATTGCGTAGTAGTTTTAAACTAGCTGATCAACTGTCTATTTGTAAATCTTTATTTTGTGTGTACACTGTTTGTTACATACCAAGTGACTAGAGTTACTAGACGGAGAGAGATAGATGGAAGACAGATGATAAATTCAACAATCGATTTGCATTCACCCCGTAGTTATTTTTATTCGCTAAAATAAGATCCCGTAAAATACAAATTAACTGCTATGCGCAGGTGTTATCTACGTAGTATGCCAACCCCGACGGAGATACAACCTAGCGGTCATTATTCATTGTACATATGGCTCTCGGTGTTCCCAGGATTAATGCCTCCGAAGTAGGTAGTTCTGCTGCATTTAACCGTGGTAGTTGCGATTCAAAATATACGGAGCGTTGTGCTGTACAATAATTGTTAGTTAAGACAACGTCACACAAGAACCACGTTACAGTTTTAGGGTAAAATTTTTCCTTATTTCTTTTTTTTTCATCCTTCCTGAGTTGTCTTCAGTGCGTCTATCGATTTTGTGTAACGCCTCGAGAAGCAATGGAGTATTTATGATGATAGTTCGCTATCTCATGTTGTACATAAAAACAATGGTTGTCGTTCGGCTTGAAGGAAATTATTTTTACAATCTTAATTGTCTTTGGCAAACTTGAGCTGTTATCGCGTTACAATACGGTTGTTAAAACGACCGGTGCGCATGGGTACGCTAACAACTATTTTATAATGCATGCATATACAACCTTGATACCCTTAAGCGACGATTTTACTGGAAAAAAACATGTTTCGTGTGAGCTCCATATTAATAACTCAAAAAGGAAACATTTTTATTTTATTTAGATAATAATGTTATTAAGCGCTTCAACTGAGTTGAATCTCAATATTATTGAGATACAAAAAATAAATTTAATAATATATTTTATTCACATTTAATGTTGTCGTTTAACTCTGAT